AAGACGTTATAAACCATTTTGGTTCTTGATTGTGTTTTATGGTGACTTTCAGACCGCAGTCCATTCGCTGGCACTGCCTCTTAGTACCTTTCACACGACGGTCAATGGTATGGTTTATAGCATGTTGTATAATAATAAATAGTATAACAGTGTAATGTTTAACATAATTCATAAGTTTAACACGTAGGCTTTCGCGACCAATATTATTCATAATAAAGGTTTTTGGGTTAGATCGCGTTATTTATAAATGTGTCGTAACCTTCCACCACCCGACACGGCCAATCAGCAAAAAAAGTGTCACGTTGACAAAGACAAATAATTCACTACTTTAGCCCACCTGTGTGTTGAGTGAATCCACAACATTTACAGTTTGAGTACGACGTTTCGCTGGTAATTAATTGTTTATGTGGCAGATGCTATAGTGGACAGACGGGACGTCACATCAGCGTAAGACTAAAAGAACATCCAGAGAAATATGAAATTATCTCAAACACAACTGTTGGCAGTGGCAGAACATGCTTGTCAACAAGGACACTCAATTGATTTTGATAACGTTGAAGTGTTGTGTAAAACTAATTATTACTGGCAAAGACTAATTAGAGAATCCATTGAAATTGAGAGGAATAAAAATTACTTTAATCGCTCTGACAGCTACAGGCTTAGTGCGGCCTGGAAGCGTATTATTAAATAATACACATTACAATTCCTTATAGGGGAAACACATACTAATTACCGGATTACTAACATAGCATATAATCACTAACACACATTACAACTAATTACTAATCTACAACTCATTACTAATCAACCATTGACTGATTACTAATCGATTATATAATTACAATACCCCCCCCCTTCCGCCTCAAATCACTACACCTGGAATGAGTTAAATGATGACGTCACCCTGCTGCTCTATTTAAAACCGGGAGCAAGCGAGGGCTTTACCATTCTGGCGAATTGCCCGATGATGCTGGATGTAATTACCAGCGAAACGTCGTACTCAAACTGTAAATGTTGTGGATTCACTCTTCAACACACCGGTGGGCTAAAGTAGTGAATTATTTGTCTTTTGTCAACGTGACACTTTTTTTACTGATTGGCCGTGTCGGGTGGTGGAGGGTTACGACACATTTATAAATAACGCGATCTAACCCAAAAACCTTTATTATGAATAATTCATAAGGCAATATATAGTATCGTAATTGCATAGTGAATATACAGCAGTGTGGTATACAGTAGGGTTGGTAGAATAATACAGTGTAATATTACACGTCTAAATTTTATAGTCTAAAGTATAGGGTAGTGTATAGTAACGCATTGCATAATTCAAGGGTGGGGTTTGTCAATGGCAGTGTATATTACGGTGTATAGTTGTGTAATTTAGAAAAAAGTTTAGTTCGAGGCATATCAATATAATGCATAATGTTAGAGCTTACATTGGGCTGTGTATACGATATTATATAATGTAGTTTAGATTGGAAGGTATAATATTGTAATGTATAGTAGTCTAGTTTATAGCATAGTTGTAACGCAACACAGGACAGAGCAGTGCATCGTGGCTGTTTCTCTCTCTCTCCTCCGTTCCGAGCATAGATGGACTCGTCCGTCTGAACAAAGCTCGTCGCTTTCCGTGGTGCTAATGTTGAAAAGAAAAATAAACCGCCACTGTTTCCGACATGGTTACATGCTAATCCCTCACACTAACATGCTAATCTCCCAGTTACATGCTAATTTCTGACTTTAACATCCTGCTAATCCAACACATTAACACAGCTACTTCAATGCTAAATTCTTCTGTTGATATGTAAACTCCTTCGTCAAGGCGCTCTACTCCTCCCACCCAGCTTAAAAGACGCTGCCTAGCTTGACAGTGTTCACTGAAGCGCTGTCTTCCCGACAGTTCTGTTTCTTCACCTGAGGAAGGCTACTTGTGTTGTGGCCGAAACGTCGTGAGCATTTTATTGTTTCATTTTATTATTTTATTCTCATTCTACGTGACTTTACCGAAAGAACCAAAGAAGACCTTTCAGCGTCTAATGGAGTTGGTTTTAGAAGGGCCTCCCGTGGGATTCGTGCTTAATATATTTGGATGACGTCATTGTTTTCAGTCGCACGTTTGATGAGCATTTGGATCGCCTGTGGGCTGTTTTCGTTAAGATGTGCGCGGCCGACCTGAAATTCAAGCCCCAGAAATGTCACCTGCTCAAAATACTCTGTTCGATACTTGGGCCACATAGTTAGCGAATCGGGCATCACGACAGACCCGGAGGAAACTGCGTTCGGACGAGGCCGACCCCCACCTCGGCCAGCGAGGTGCGCAGTTTTATCGGCTCTGCCTCTTACTATCGCCGACTTGTCGCGGGTTTCGCATCTATTTCAAAACCTGTCCACGCATTGACAGCTAAGGGCCAAAAATTGCATTGGGGGGAGGAGGAAGCTGCGCGTGCCCGTAGAGCCAGTATCCGTACCACACGCTCACCACTCACCAGGTGTGCGTGCCCGTAGAGCCAGTGTCCTCACCACACGCTCACCACTCACCAGATGCGCGTGCCCGTAGAGCCAGTGTCCTCACCACATGCTCACCACTCACCAGGTGTGCGTGCCCGTAGAGCCAGTGTCCTCACCACACGCTCACCACTCACCAGGTACGCGTGCCCGTAGAGCCAGTGTCCTCACCACACGCTCGCCACTCACCAGATGCGCGTGCCCGTAGAGCCAGTGTCCTCACCACACACTCACCAGGTGCGCGTGCCCGTAGAGCCAGTGTCCTCACCACACACTCACCAGGTGCGCGTGCCCGTAGAGCCAGTGTCCTCACAACACGCTCACCACTCACCAGGTGCGCTTGCCCGTAGAGCCAGTGTTCTCACCACACGCTCGCCACTCACCAGATGCGCGTGCCCGTAGAGCCAGTCCTCACCACACGCTCACCACTCACCAGGTGCGCGTGCCCGTAGAGCCAGTGTCCTCACAACACGCTCACCACTCACCAGGTGCGCGTGCCCGTAGAGCCAGTGTCCTCACCACACGCTCACCACTCACCAGGTGCGCGTGCCCGTAGAGCCAGTGTCCTCACCACACGCTCACCACTCACCAGGTGCGCGTGCCCGTAGAGCCAGTGTCCTTACCACACGCTCACCACTCACCAGGTGCGCGTGCCCGTAGAGCCAGTGTCCTAACCACACTCTCACCACTCACCAGGTGCGCGTGCCCGTAGAGCCAGTGTCCTTACCACACGCTCACCACTCACCAGGTGCGCGTGCCCGTAGAGCCAGTGTCCTCACCACTCACCAGGTGCGCGTGCCCGTAGAGCCAGTGTCCTCACCACACGCTCACCACTCACCAGGTGCGCGTGCCCGTAGAGCCAGTGTCCTCACCACACGCTCACCACTCACCAGGTGCGCGTGCCCGTAGAGCCAGTGTCCTCACCACTCACCAGGTGCACGTGCCCGTAGAGCCAGTGTCCTCACCACTCACCAGGTGCGCGTGCCCATAGAGCCAGTGTCCTCACCACACACTCACCACTCACCAGGTGCGCGTGCCCGTAGAGCCAGTGTCCTCACCACACACTCACCACTCACCAGGTGCGCGTGCCCGTAGAGCCAGTGTCCTCACCACACGCTCACCACTCACCAGGTGCGCGTGCCCGTAGAGCCAGTGTCCTCACCACACGCTCACCACTCACCAGGTGCGTGTGCCCGTAGAGCCAGTGTCCTCACAACACGCTCACCACTCACCAGGTGCGCGTGCCCGTAGAGCCAGTGTTCTCACCACACGCTCGCCACTCACCAGATGCGCGTGCCCGTAGAGCCAGTCCTCACCACACGCTCACCACTCACCAGGTGCGCGTGCCCGTAGAGCCAGTGTCCTCACAACACGCTCACCACTCACCAGGTGCGCGTGCCCGTAGAGCCAGTGTCCTCACCACACGCTCACCACTCACCAGGTGCGCGTGCCCGTAGAGCCAGTGTCCTCACCACACGCTCACCACTCACCAGGTGCGCATGCCCGTAGAGCCAGTGTCCTTACCACACGCTCACCACTCACCAGGTGCGTGTGCCCGTAGAGCCAGTGTCCTCACAACACGCTCACCACTCACCAGGTGCGCGTGCCCGTAGAGCCAGTGTTCTCACCACACGCTCGCCACTCACCAGATGCGCGTGCCCGTAGAGCCAGTCCTCACCACACGCTCACCACTCACCAGGTGCGCGTGCCCGTAGAGCCAGTGTCCTCACAACACGCTCACCACTCACCAGGTGCGCGTGCCCGTAGAGCCAGTGTCCTCACCACACGCTCACCACTCACCAGGTGCGCGTGCCCGTAGAGCCAGTGTCCTCACCACACGCTCACCACTCACCAGGTGCGCGTGCCCGTAGAGCCAGTGTCCTTACCACACGCTCACCACTCACCAGGTGCGCGTGCCCGTAGAGCCAGTGTCCTTACCACACTCTCACCACTCACCAGGTGCGCGTGCCCGTAGAGCCAGTGTCCTCACCACACGCTCACCACTCACCAGGTGCGCGTGCCCGTAGAGCCAGTGTCCTCACCACTCACCAGGTGCGCGTGCCCGTAGAGCCAGTGTCCTCACCACACGCTCACCACTCACCAGGTGCGCGTGCCCGTAGAGCCAGTGTCCTCACCACACGCTCACCACTCACCAGGTGCGCGTGCCCGTAGAGCCAGTGTCCTCACCACTCACCAGGTGCACGTGCCCGTAGAGCCCGTGTCCTCACCACTCACCAGGTGCGCGTGCCCATAGAGCCAGTGTCCTCACCACACACTCACCACTCACCAGGTGCGCGTGCCCGTAGAGCCAGTGTCCTCACCACACACTCACCACTCACCAGGTGCGCGTGCCCGTAGAGCCAGTGTCCTCACCACACGCTCACCACTCACCAGGTGCGCGTGCCCGTAGAGCCAGTGTCCTCACCACACGCTCACCACTCACCAGGTGCGCGTGCCCGTAGAGCCAGTGTCCTCACCACACGCTCACCACTCACCAGGTGCGTGTGCCCGTAGAGCCAGTGCGCGGGCGGTCCCGGGAAGGCGTCGAGTGCGGGGCGCGTGCGCCGCCGCAGCACCCACAGGGAGCAGCACGCGGCGCACAGCAGCAGCAGCAGGGAGCCCAGCAGCTCCCACATCCTCCTCACTCTGAGCCAGCACGCACAGACTCACTCCGAGGCAGTACACACAGACTCACTCAGAGGCAGTACACACAGACTCACTCAGAGCCAACACACACAGACTCACTCCGAGGCAGCACACACAGACTCTCTGAGAGCCAGCACACACAGACGCACTCAGAGCTAACACACACACACACACTCAGAGCCAACACACACACAGACTCCGAGGCAACACACACACAGACTCACTCCGAGCCAGCACACACACAGACTCACTTAGAGCCAGCACACACAGACTCACTCCGAGGCAGCACACAGACTCACTCAGAGGCAGCACACACACAGACTCACTCCGAGGCAGCACACACACAGACTCGGCAGCACACACACAGACTCACTCCGAGGCAACACACACAGACTCACCCCGAGGAAACACACACACAGACTCGCACGCTGCTCTCTATCTTCTCGCAGCAGCGCTATGCCCTGGCGGGACAGCAACACGCAATCGCTGAGCCGTGGGTGAACATCAAATAAACACACCCCCTGTGTAGGTTTTCATGAATCATCACAAATACCAGACTTACGTAAGCAGATGAGGCCGCATCTATCTCGCCTTCTTGTGTCCTCTACGGGGTTGTTGTTCATAAACCTGTTAATCAGAATCAGAAGTTTATTTAAAGCACATTGGGCTATGAAGTTGTTTTTTCGAGTACAGCTCGACCGGCAGACAACTTCAAAGCATTATGCGATTACAGATAAAAAACTTAACAATCTCAATTATGTTGTAAATTTACGTTCACACTTAAACGTTGGTCATTTTGAAAGTGTGTAATTGGACATAGACAAAACTAGGTTGTTCCAAAACTTTAAGGCTGTAACATCAAATGCTCTTCCAAATTGCGCGCGAAATCTGGGAACTGTTAATGAACAATCAGACGCACATCCCAGGCTTATAGGAACGTAGGGTACAAGTAATGATTATTATGGATGTGTACCTTATACTTGAGTGGTGGTGCCTTACTACGATAATCCTTGCTATAAAACAGCGTAGACAGTATTCCGAAAATTATCAAGCGCAAAAATTAAGCCCTGGCTGGGCATAAGTAGAGAAGACGTTCCGCGTGCGTTGTTGTTAAACAGCCCACGAACTAAACAGTTTACATTTCTTTGGCAATTAAGCCCTGGCTGGGCATAAGTAGAGAAGACGTTCCGCGTGCGTTGTTGTTAAACAGCCCATGAACTAAACAGTTTACATTTCTTTGGCAATGCAACTGTTTTATGGAACAAGATAAATAATAGATCTCTCTTTCACATATCCGTCTCTCCACGTACCGATGAAAGTATTTAATATGACCTCCTTTGTCAGTACCAAAATATGAGAATAGGTTTTCCTTTTTTTCTGGCAACAAAATAGATGTTAAGATGTTAAAACACCAAACTGAAACTTTTTACAAGGAATCATGTCTGCATTAACCACAATACTTGTGGTCAGAATGCAAACAAAAAACATACTCTGATAATATATGCATTGCCTTTGAAACTGATTGGTCCACACCAGAGACAGCTTTCTTTTGAGCTTAGTTTCAAAACGGTGTTAGACCAGAGGACGCAAAAAGGCGTACAGCACAAAGACAAAAAGACGATTTCTTCCTGAGACCTTGCTTCCATTCACTGGCAAGACCACCTCAGCTGTAATTCAGCTCACTTGGTATCTCTAATTAAAGACATCTCACTATCTCCAGGTAATTTGCTTAGCTTCGATTTAGTTTATTTTGTTTACCAAAGTTCCTGTGCCTGACACCATTGCAATCATTGAAGATTTGGTTCAACAAGGACTGAATGCTGATGTACCGGCCCTGGTGAGACACGCCTCACCAACACTTCACCTGGAATGGTACATTCTACAAACAAGTTGAAGGTATCTCAATGGGTTTTCCCTTATCTCCAATGATAGCCAATGTTTTCATGAAACAATTTGAAACAGATGCCATCCAGGCATACATCCTACGTCCTTATAGAATAAATAACGTAGATGACAGCTCTGAACCACATCAATTCCATACACCCAGCCATAAAATTCACCATGGAGGTGGAAAAGGATGGCAAGTTACCATTCTTGGATGTTTTAATCGAAAAGAGACCATATGGCTCATTGAGGCTGTCTACAGGAAAGCCACCCACACGGATGCCTATCTAAAACCTGACTCCCACCACCATCCAGCCCAGAAGAATTCCCTCACCAAAACTCTACACCACAGGGCTCGTTGCATTTCCAACGATCACCACCTAGCCAGTGAACTGGAGCACGTACACCAAGCCCTCAAGATGAATGGATATTTGGACGACACAATCCGTAAAGCTATCACCCCAACCGTTGGGAGAGAACCATCTGAGGACCCAATCAAAAGTATCACCTTGCCATACATAGCAGGGGTTACCAAAAAGATTTCCAAAATCATGAGCAAACACAACATACAGGTTCGATTCAACACAGTACATAAATTCGTGATCTAATCCCATTTGTGAAGGACGTGATCCCTGACATGCAATTCCCCAGTGTCTACAAACTAAGCTGTGCCTGTGGCAGTAGTTACATTGAGGAAACTAAGAGACATGTCTCGGACCGTGTTCGTGAATATAAGGCAGATCTGAATCACGGTAGGACCAATACCTCGGCCGTGGCTGATCATTGTTTTAACGCTGTGAGCACACACGAAATTGATTTTTCCAAGACGAAGGTACTCTACAAACCTACTGGCTATCAACAAAGATTCGTTCATGAAGCCATCAGATATATGAACACAGAAACATTTTCAACTGAGAAGATAGGTACAAACTGAGCAATCATTGGGAGGATGTTATTAACCAGTTTAAGTGATAACTGGCTGTGATGTTTCCATCCTACCTGCCGATATTAGCAGTTATTTCCGACTCTTTGAGTTGCATTCCTCGATGTGGTGGTGGCTACATTAACATGCTAATCTCTCACAATCAACATAGTGCTGCGGAGGTGCTAATGATGGCAATAATTTCAAGGGGTAAAGGTACTCAAATATAGGGAAACCAGGTTCTCATAGTCCCTGACCTTACCCTGGAAGACTCAAAAAAGAAGAACTTACTTTTTCCCCTGCATAGTGGCCTGTTGAACAGGGATGGGCTGCACTCAGAACTCCTTTGCCCATGCAAACTGCCAGATCCATATCGGAGGGAGGAGGTGGGATTTCCTGACCCCATGCACGATGATGGGGTGCCGGGAGATCCAGGAGATTCGACAGGGACCAACGGGGAATGGAGGACAGTGTCGATGGAGTCCCGCCTGAAGCAGCTGGTCGCTGGACAGAGCGGCGTGGCATTGCTGGTCCTGCATCTCCGGCGCCGGGACAACGCATATTATTACACGGGCAGTGCAGCGCAGGGAACTCTTACTCTCCAAACAACTCTTATTTGCCTTCTTGCACCATCCCCTTCTCTCTTTCCTCATTCCTCCCACTACCTCCCCCTCGACCACTCCAGATGGGCCTTGTATTGCGACTTTGTTCTTTTCCTTCTAGGATTCCTCGTAGTAGAGTATGATTTCCCTCCAGGTGCCACTTGTCCGGGTTATGAGGTGGACCTGGCTGTCCATCGGTCCGGCGGTTGCTGAACAGGCCGATCCAAGACCTGCAGATCTTGATGCAGTGGGGACAGGGATAGTTCATCCTGGAGCTCAGACGTGTTGCCTCTGTCTCCGGTGTATGTGTATGTACTTTGAAGTGTGCTCTTTTCATGGCTATCAATGCTCTTTGTTTGGTCTCAAAGTGTTGAGTTCCATTGTTGATTTTGGCCCTCCATGATGGTCTATCAAGGGCATAGATTTACCAGTTGTTTGGGTCCATATGACTTTGCTTGAAGTGTGTTTTAACGTTGTGATGAAAATGCTTCTTTTGAACTCCAGGAGCACTGGATCCATCCCTGAACTGGGAAGAGAAGATTTGCTTAGGAAGCCTTGAGTCATTCATCCTGACGAGGTTACCTGCCCATCTGAGTTAGTGCTTCATGATGATGGCTTCTGTAATGGATGAGTTGGATCGCTCCAAATCACTTATGTTCGTTTGTCTTCTCGGCTGATGTTTAGTTTTTCCTGAGGCAGCGTTGATGACACTTTGAGGGATTTTATGTGTTTGTGATAGGAGGTCCAGGTTTCTGCACCATATAACTGGGTAGGAATGATAACAGCATTATAAACAACCACTTTGGTCTTGGTGGTAATGTCGTGGTCTTCAAAGCCCCTGTTGTTAAGCTTGGGAAAAGCAACACTAGCTATAGCAATGCGATGTTGGATTTCATCATTAATTACGACATTGCTGGAGAGATGGCTGCCTAAGTATGGGAAACTGGGAATGTTTTCTAGTATTGGATTGTTAGTGATTTTCGGGGGTGGTAGGTGTGCTCCTGGAGCTTGTTGGAAGAGGATTTTTGTTTTGCTGGTAATGAGTGTTAAACCCATCCTGCTGTAAGCTTCTATCAATATGTTGACGATGTCCTGAAGGTCAGCTTCTGAGCAGACACCGACTTGGGCATTATCTACATATTGGAATGTGATTGAGGTTCTCGACTTGGCTCTGAAACGGTTGATGTGGAATATGTTCCCGTCTTCTTGGTTCTTTCGGTAAAGTCACGTAGAATGGAAATAAAATAATAAAACATAATAAAATAAATTATGTTTTATTTGTATTATTTTATTTCCATTCTACGTGACTTCACTGAAAGAACCAAGAAGATGAATCCCTGCAGTCACGAAAGCTTTAAATCGAAATGTTCCCGTCTGTTCTATATGTGATATGCATACCGCAGGGGAGTCTGCCCTCTGTTAGGTGAAGCATTCCCATCAGGAAGATAGAGAAAAGAGTTGGTGCAATAATGCACCCTTGCTTCACATTGGTTCTTACCTTGATTGACTCTGTGGTTTCACCACCTGATAGGATGACAGCCTTCATACGGTCATGCAGAAGACGGAGGATGTTAACAAATTTTGTTGGGCAGCCAAATCTTAGAGGATTCTCTATAGTGCTTCACGATTAGTAGAGTCGAAAGCTTTAGTCAGATCGAAAAAGGACATGAACAGTGGTAGTCTGCTCCTGGCACTTTTCTT